GCATCGGTGTGTGAATGTGGATGAATGGATTAATTTCTGTTTGTGATGAGTGTTTGCAATCACTGTAGGAATGTGTAAGTGGGTGAATGTGGCATGTAGTGTAAAAGCGCTTTGAGTGGTCGAAAGACTAGAAAGGCACTATACAGGTTCAGTCCATTTACCATTACAGTTGAATTTCTACACACACATTGTACTTCGCTATTTAATATTCCTTCCACGTCCTCACAATTTTCTCTGTATTTATTGTTGTGGTCAGGCAGAAGAGGCCAATGACCAGTACCAGAACTGTATGGCTGACGCAGGCGTCAGGAAGATGGACATGGCCAACGCCAAGAGAACCATCCTCACACAGATCCGAGAGATGGTCTTCCAGTGTGACCTCACACTCAAAGCTGTGAGTACACAGTACATAATATAACACAAGACTAAATGTTACAATTTCTGTCAGTTTAATTGAAAGGTCTTTTAATACAAGGCCAATAACTCAAACTCCTCCATAAAGAATGTGAATAAAAATAACATTTATATGATCGAAAAAGTCACGATGGGGGGCAGTAGCCTTACGTGTGCTGTGCTTCACATATTTGGCAACTTTTGAGCTAAAATATTCAGCATTTTTAATAACCCTAACATTGTTAAGATTGTAAAGAAAGTCAAATTCAAACAATTGCTTGGTTAAACCAATTTAAAGGCATTTATAGGCTGTTAAAGTCACACCAATGCTATATAATGGGATCACAAGCAATTTGACATTCACTATTGCTTAAATTCAGTTCAGTTTGAATTGAAAACAATATCTGTCAAGTGCAGAACGTTTGTGCCAAATGCTTGATCAGGTTCTCAATCTTGCTTATTTCATCAAAGTAGGATATTTTGTGATTTAAATCCTCATATGTTTATATTGCATGGGAAGAATAGAAACTACAGTACATGCAAGAATGTTAGTCTGCCTGTATGTGTCTTTATCTATTTACAATCACTTGAATACTCATTTGCTATTTGCCCATTTGTTCATTCATTCAGTGAGTCATTCACTTACTCACTCATTCACCTTATTAATTTAATTCTTCAGGTGACAGTGAACTGGTTTCAGATGCAGCAGGCGCAGACTGTGTCGCTCCCTGCCCACTACCAGGCCCTGAGTGAGAGTGCCAAGTTGTACGAACCGGGTGAATGCTATGCTGAGTTTGTCCGGAACCTGCCCAAAAATCTACCTAAAGAGCGTTTGAACTCAGACTCCATCTCCTCTGACAATACCAGGTACCAAAGACTGTGGATGCACACTGAGAATCTGGAAATGGTCTCTGTATTTATACATAGCAATGATGCTGATGGATTTGAATCTGCTTGGCTGTGAATGAGAAAGTTTGCTCTATTATTTTCAGCGATTAGCTTGTAAAATCTGCTTCCTACACTCTTCCTACACTACCTTATGGTTTACTGAAGTTTAATATGGCCATAATATGAGACAGGCAATGTTAAATAAATTTGAGTTTTAGGTCATTCAAACTTTCAACAGTTTCGGAGGAGAGTGTTTCAAAATATCTTTAAATCGTTTCCGCCCATTTAGAAGTGGTTCATAGTCTAGTTTTTCTTTCAGCAAACGTAACAGAGAGTGAGTCAGAGTGGGAGGAAGCGAGAGAATCAAGGAGAGACAGAATGCATGTTGAATTTGTTGCCCTTCCTCAGGAAATATCTGTGGCGCAGGCAGAATGCAGCAGGGGAGATTGTGAGCGTGAGAGTTTGGCTCTGGTTTAGAGCTGTCCCTAAGACTTTACTTAGATTGTCAAAGCAGAATCAGCTTCCTACACACACACACACACACACACACACTCTCACACACACACACACACACACACACACACACACACACTCACTACCACTAAGATAACGAACCACCCATAAGCCACAACTTCCCTTCTAGTCTTATGTTCACCTGGTAAGTTTGATGAATGTTGTTCTGGTGGTTGACATGATTGAAATTGTTTTTTGGTGACTTCAGAAAAACTCTCCCTTAGTGTTAGTTGTCTCGTAACTTCCAATCTTACCTTGGTGAAGGCCATAGACATGTCCTCTACGACAAACGTCGACACTCCTTACCATGTCGTACGTGGCTCCTGCTGGCGAGTTATCAAGCCCCTATTTTCAGTTCCTTCTGATTCTTCTCTCTCTTTAGTTTTTCCCCTACACCGCCGTCTCTGCACTTTTGCAACACACTCCACCGTCTACCCCAGTCCACGTAACCAACTTAAACTCTCTCGCTCGCGACTACACACTGACTTTCTCATCAACCCAGCTCTGTTAACAGAATCATGGCTCTACGAATCATCGAGCTGGTCACGTCGCGCAACGTTAGGTACACCATCAGTGTCACTCACGACACGAAACACATGCCTCTCAACTACCAAGGCACTCGCCGTCTTCTCCTCCATTCTGTGCCTACCAACATACGCAGCGCAGAATCAAACACGGTGTGTGTTAGTCTCGACACGCCCAGGCCAGTTACTCAATGCACCTAAACCTATTCCAACATAAACGCAGTCTGTCGCATACAAATTGACATGGTGTCATCGCTCCCTGCCTTATTCATCAACGGCACATCATCTGGTCACCAGTACGTCCCCTGTTCACCAAACTGCTCTCTGGAGTCCTCATCGCTGGCTGCGGTGTCTTGAGCAACAAACACAGTTACCATCTGCCCCAGAAACCATGAAAGCCACAATTCCGCTCTGGTGCACAAACTAATGGCTCTCGAAGTCACTCGCGCTCGCTTCAACAATCTGCTCCTTTCACCAGTCGGGTACTCTACTTCGCGCCTCACTCTGCGCCCGCTCAAGGAAATCTTTCCATTACTGCGGTTACATTCACTCCATTGTACACTCTTAACTCGCTGGCTTTCATTCCCCAGGTTCTCGCTTCCAACACAACGGGCCCGTGGGCAGCCAGTCATTCCTGCTCCACGGCAACACGTCGCACGGCATCCATTCACCTTTCCTGTGATGTGCTGCAGCGGAGACGCAAGGGACAGTCCCCTACACCCGGCCTGCCAAAGATCCAGCGACCGAGGACGGTCAAACAGCAGCACAGAAATACAAACGGGTGTTCCTTTTAATCTTAATGTAAACTCAGTTACAAAATGAGGATAATAACAATTTAAGGCAGCTTTGGTGGACATTCTTCTAAGGTCCCTGTCCAGTCATGGATTCGTTCTTACAGGCACTGGATTCTCACCCATTGTCCCAATTATGGCTATAAAAGTTTTCAGAAATGGCGGTGATCCCCAAAGCCAAAATAATTGTTTCTGGACGGGTTAGATTGCCTGATGCTTATCAATATGTTTCCTTGTCATGAGCCTTTCAGGGACTTGTGGCTGTGTTCTTGAGTCATGGGAACTCGGTTTCAGGACTGAAGTCAAAAACACCAGCTCCTGAGGTTGTGGCTTGCTTTATTCGTCACAAGTCTGGGAATATCTTGTGTGAATCACTTGTTGTTATTCGTTTGCGTGTGGTGTGATGTCTGGTCCCTTGTTAACTGTTTTCTTGAGCGGCATGAACAAGTCAGGGCCAACGCTGAGCACCTGGGCCCCCAGTAAGTCAAGGAGCCAGCGCCGGGATGTTGCAGTGGACCTCAGAGAGTGCGGAGGCAGCAGCGATCGAGGGTCTATGGGACCTCCCCACCGCATCCCAAGGTAAAGGGTTATTCCATTTTAAGCTTTT